TAAAGTAACTCTAAGAAGCAGTGTTACAACTCTATTCCTAGTTTTTGCATAGTTCCAAAGTGAGGGGGGATATCCTCCCCCCACCTCCACTCAGGAGTCCGTCCCAGATCCACCTATGACCCTACCGGATAGTCAGGAGGATGTCGCAACTTCGAGCATGAAGTAAGATAGAAGATAACGACGTTGATGCTCAAGTGTATCAGCCTCACAGGATGACGGACAGCTGTGGTTTCTCTTCATCACCATTCACATTCTTCCTCATTCTTCTTTTCCATTACATGAAGATTGTTAACATGTTACCTGTAATCTGATTTTTTCGTGTATTTTAATTCCAATTTCAATTTGCAGAAAGTAATGATTGCTGCCGATTCTGTCCTGTCCCTCGATCACTGTCATCCACAGATGCGGAGGAATTTTTGAGTTTGAGGATTATGTTTAGCTGTTTTACGCATTGTGCTTAACTCTGCATAGATCAGTGGAAAAAAATATACATTTCACTGAATGCTGAGAGTTGAGAAGTGAATCAAGAAGAAAACTCTCTTCCACACCCCCTTCCCCCTCGGAGGAGGGAAGGGGGTGTGGAAGAGAGTTTTCTTCAGTTTTAGCTTTAGACCCGGACTTTTGCAGCACTGGCATCTGTGCCGCTAAGAGAGGGGAGGGGGTGAAAGGCCCATCGCCCCTCCCTCCTCTTTCCCTTTGGCCACTAGATGCCGCTGGTTTTTGCGCTTCTATCGTTTGTTGTTTTTAAATTTGCGCGGTATTACTACGGTAGGCTGATTTCAAATTGATTGGTTTGGCCAATCGACGAATGAACGTGACAGGCGAGGAGACGGCGAGAGAGTGCACCATAAATGTAGGGGCAGAGATGCAGAGGGCAGTGAAAGTACTGTAGAAAGCAGAGAAGCAGAGTGGTCACACTGTTTTGCTGCGTGTCGTGGTAGTGGTGTGAAGTAATTTTCGTAATCATCGACGTTTGGCGTGGACAAGTGACCAGTGTGATTGTTTTTCAGGCTATTTTGCAAGAAACGATGGCGAATTCGACGTTGACCAGTAGTAGTATGAGTTTATTGTGCGGCAGGTGGGTATTCTCTTGTTTTCTCAGTTTTTATTTGCATCTATGCAATGCAAAAACTCATATTGTCTAGTTTTGTGTTTATATATGTGTGTGTATGTGTGTGTGTATATACGTCAGTGTATAGCGTCAGTGTGTCTGTGTGTGCGTCTGTACTGGTTTTTCATCTCGAGACCTACAAAAGTTACAAGACTGAAACTTTGGCAACTTAATCTATACGCATTTGCGGAGCCCTATCTCCAAAACGGGCGATCTTACCCACGTGGCTCCCAAGTACGGGCTCGTGAAAGTTTTGGCGGGTAAGTTGCTAAATCGAAAACTAGAAAGACTAGAAATGGCTTTAAACTCAGCTGCTTTACATGGTGATTCCTACGTACAGACCCATGAAGATTTTTGTCGGGTAAGTTGCTAACTCGGAAACCAGAAAAGTTAGAAAGCTGAAATTTTAAGGGAATGTTCTCCGACAGTCGTGGTGGCCATTCTCAATTCTTTTAGCTAGAAACATCTGTCGGAAAAAAAACCAGTACCATTAGCAACAAAGATCTGCGGGGAGCTATGCAAAAAGCGCATCTTCGCACCGGCATTCAATGCGCTGCCCAGTTATTCTCCTTTTCGTCATAATTATTTTATTGGTCAACATGCATAGCGCAGTGGCCAGTAGCGTTGCCGCTATTGTCGTGCAGTAGGTCGAAGGTCCCATTCCGCGGATGGCACAACCAATCCTTCTACGATTCGTTCATTCGCTTTTTAACTTCCGATTTCTACAGACTTTTCTGATGAAAAG